GACAGCAGATGGAGGAAGCTCCTTTAGAGCAATGGTCTTCTAGATGGTTTGGACTTCATCTCCCAGAAGATGGAGCCTCTGGGAGTTGAAGTCCAAAACATCTGACGGATAAGAGATTGGGACCATTGCTTAGAGTGATACCCTATCTGGGATGCTGCGTGAAGAGTGGAGGAAAGAGCTGACTGGTTTCAACAGACATGAGAGAAAGCAATTTTAAGAGATGCAAAGAAATGCTGATTCCTTCTTTGTCTGCTCAGGCTATTCAATTGTAATCTGCAACCAATGGATGAATTCATTTGCTGAACCATCATGAAAACATCTTCCTCTAACACATGCTCAAGCTTTCGGGGCATGATCAGTTTACTGTACTCTCAGCATTTCTGGATTTATTTTCAGCACTCTAGTAACGCACAACGTTGCATCTACACTGTATAATTAATGCACTTTGTCCCCACTTTAACTGTCATGAATTGATGCTAAGGAATCATGGGAGCTGAAGTTTCACAAGGTCTTTAGCCTTCTCTGACAAAAAGTGCTGGTGCCTCATCAAACTACAACACCCAGGATTCCATAGCATTGAGCCATTGCAGTTAAAGTGATGTGAAACTGCATTAATTCCGCACTGTAGATGCATCTACAGCTTCAGTTCTCATCCACTGCTAGCGTTTCCTTGGCCTGGCAAACTATAGGACAATTGAATTGACTTATACATTTTTAAAATTCCTTTGTGAACTTAATTTTTTTGTGTCAGGAGCAACTTGAGAAATTGCAAGTCACTTCTGGTGTGAGAGAATTGGCCGTCTGCAAGGACATTGCCCAGGGGATGCCCGGATGTTTTGATGTTTTACCATCCTTGTGGGAGGCTTCTCTCATGTCCCCGCATGGAGTTGGAGCTGACAGAGGAAGCCCATCCGTGCTCTCCCCAGATTCGAATGAGCAATCTTCAAGTCAGCAACCCAAGCTTCAAGTCAGCACTCCTGCTGGCACAAGGATTGAACCCATTGCACCACTGGGGGCTCCTATAAGAGCATATATAATCTAAGTATAGACTCATATAATGCAGCTTAGCTTAGTTTCAAACTGCAATATGTGGCAGTGTAGATGGGGCCAAAGATAGCTCAGAATAGTCCTACATCTTGACAAGCTGATGTTTTCCATCATTTGAATGAACACTGTTCTGTCGCGCACTGGGCCTGTAACAGCTGTCTTTTCTATAGGACGTATACTTTAAACCCAGCGGGAAGCCAGGGGGCCTCAAAGAGAGGTTCTCAGGGATTTTTCTGAAGTGATGGTCTTTAGAGTCTTTAATGATACAACAAAGTCTTTATTATGGAACAAACAAAAATCTTCAATGGTTCAAACAGTACTTCAAGGCTTTCTTAGTCTAGTCCTCAATGGACTGGTACCTGACTTTGATTAACTGTATTTTCTCTGTAGAAAAAAAAACCTTTTTAACCTCTCCCAGGCTGTTTACTATCTATGCCTCATCGGTGTGGGTCCTACTACCAATTCCAAATGTGTCTGGGTATCAAGTAGACCTACCAGCCGAGGCTTGTAGATATTTCAGATGGAGTTCCGTGGATCTGTAGTGCTGTCCTCCCTCAGAGAATTCTTTGAAAACTTCAGGGCTGTTTTCCCTCTGATTGCTGTGAGGCTGAGAGGCTGTGAGCTCTCAGCCAGAGCCTTGGGATCTTTTCCCTGGAATTTCTGTTTCTGTTTCCCCGGATGTTCTTGAGAAAAGCAGCTTTTCTACGGGACGAGCTGGCCCTACGTCCTATAGTTTAGCTTCCTTATGAGAGACTGCCAAAAAAAAATGGCTCCTTTCCCTCCCAGAGCCCTGAACAAGCCCAACTATGACGGACAGGAGGCCTGCCCCATGACTGCAAACAGATAATAGAAAGAAAATAAAGTTGGAGCTCCTGGTACAGCCGTACCAGCACAAACACATCTTCTCAAACCATGAGCACTATAGGGAAGAGAAGGCTTCTTTTCCCTACAACTTCCACAGCATGTCAGTTCAAGTGGCATCAAACTGCATTCATTCTACAGTGTAGAGGCAACCTATGTCTAATTTTAGGGCCACCTCCCCGGCCTACATGAAAAACCCTGATAGCCATGCGTTTTAGATTTTTATTTTTATTTTTTACTTTTCTGCATTAAAACTAGTTTTTGGAAGGAACCCAGTACGATTTAGGAGACAGCTAGGACACTGCTCATCAAAGTCGCTTTTAATAGCCTGAAGGGAAGTGTCAATTTTCAGCAACTCTCTGACAATTTTAACTAACAGGGGGAAATCAAAAACCTTCCAACCCAAAGCGTATTGTGGATGAGACTCCTAATGAGTTACATAATGCCCACCTGGCTGCCAGGCGGAAGGAAGAGAGAGGGGAAAGCAGGAAGGAAGGCCCTTGATAAGCCCATTAAAAAGAACATTGGGAACAGGGTTTGAGAGCCATAGATTGGAAAGGTGTTTGTTTCATCATTGCCTTGCTTTTGAGCACTCCAGCTAGAGTTCAGAGTAGGTTGAACTTCTCTCCAGGACAGACCTAGCATGCGAGACAGGTGCCAATTTTTAAGGATCAGTTGCAATAGCTGTATTTTTTCCGATACAGTTGTCTTTCCACATTTGCAGATTTGATTATTCATGGACTGAATTAAAATGTTCTCTCTAGGTTTCTCTAGGACAGAGGTTCCCAAACTTTTTCAGCTGCAAAACCCTTTTTGAAGCAAATATATTGCATTATATATAATGTAGAGTCCTCAGAGGCACTGCTGATTTAACTGCTGAGCTGCTGAACTTGCTGACCAAAATGTTGGCAGTTCGAATCCAGGGAGCAGGGTGTGCTCCCACTGTTAGGCCCAGCTTCTGCCAACCTAACAGTTCAAAAACATGTGAGTAGATCAATAAATACCTCTCAGAGGGGAAGATAACAGCACTCCATGCAGTCATGCTGACCGCATGACCTTGGCGGCGTCTATGGACAATGCTGGCCCTTCGGCTTAGAAATGGAGATGAGCACCACCACCCCAGGAGTCAGACACCACTAGACTTAATGTCAAGGGAAAACCTTTACCTTATATCTATCAGGTATGGGCAAACTTTTTGACCAATATAGACATAACAGTATTTAATGTATTGTCGAGAACATGGCCATATAACCCGGAAAAACCTACAACAACCCATAACAGTATTTCAGTGTAAGACCCCAGGAGCCATGTAGTCCAACCACCTTCTGCCATGCAGGAAAAGTACAATCAAAGCACCCCCAACAGATTCAGATGAAGCTGTTTGTCTTACTGTCTGAAATGACAAACTTAGGTTGACCCTGAGTGAAGGCTGGGTAAATGACATTGGAGGGCTATATCTGGCCCTTGGGCTTTAGTTTGAGGAGCCCTGCTCTAGAGTCTCCATTATGATTCCTTGGTCCAGTGGAAATCAACCTTAGGTTCATACTGGAAGACTTACAAATTCCTAGATAAGTTTTTACTCAGCTGAACAATAGAATTGTCTTTATTTAAGGTTTTCATAAGAGTCCTGGCACTCCATGCAGTCATGCCAGCGACATGACCTTGGAGGTGTCTACGGACAACTCCGGCTCTTTGGTTTAGAAATGGAGATGAGCACCAACCCCCAGAGTTGGACACGACTGGACTTAATGTCAGGGGAAAACCTTTACCTTTACTATACAGTATACTGTGGCACATGCAATTCATGTTGTTTGCCTTGCTTAACACCACAATGTTAGACATCGAGATTTCTGACTTAACTGATTTTGTCTGTCTTTGAAGTGTACATTCTTATTAAGTATTTAAAACGGTGGCAGCCCTTTAGAATGTACCCTGAAATTGTGTATTTGAATGATACATTAAATTATTTTCAAATACAAAAAGCCTGATTTGAATCAATAGGTGGACATGAAGGGGAGCATTGCTCAGACAGCTTTTCCAGCTAATGATAGCTATATGTCATTGTCTACCAGTCCTACCCAAAATTCATTCAGTGGCATAGATTCATATTTTGCTTTTGAAGCAGAATTTCAATAAGATCTTCAAACTCTGACAGAATATTTAAAACTTTTAAAAATGATTTTAAGGATTTCTCAGGGAAACCCTACAATGCTTTTGTGGAACCTTAGGTTTCTGCGGAACAGCATCTCGGAACTTCTGCTCTGGACAACTCCATGCTCTGCTTCTCTCTGCAGAGCCCAAAGGAGTTGCACTAGCTGTCAATTCACTTTTGGCCAGAATTCAAGGTTCTGATTTTGACAAATTTAATGGCTTGTAGTAGAGATAGTTGAAGACATGCCTCTCCCTCCAACATTTCACATCTGAAAACATAGACACAGGTGTTCAAGCTGTTCAACTCCTGCTACAATATGCTATTATACTTCCTTGATATGACACTGCAATCATCAGTCTTTGCTCAACAATGACATGCCCCATTTCAATTTTTAATTAACATTATCTTTTAGTAAGCTTGCTTGGTGCCATTATTCTTATTAAATTGCAATGCCCCCTTGAAACATGACTCTTCCACTAAAACTTTAGATCAGATCTAATTCTCCTTGCTATCTTGAAACATTTGGAACAGCTGTGTGATGAAGAAATGGCCTAAGATCCACTGGTTGTTTCTTCTTCTCCTTCCTCTTCTTCTAAATCCTCGGGCTAGGAGAGGATGCAGCTGGTTGCTTTTGCCTGAGCCTTTTGGGAAGGGATGTTTCCAACCCACCCCTGACTTCTGTTCTCTCTTCCCACCATACAGAGTTAGAATTACAGTTCGAAGAGACCCCAGGTGGTGTCAAACAGCAATAATTCTATGCTGTAGATGTATCCTAGGTGACTGTAGGCCAATCCAACTCTAAACCTCAGAGGAAAGCAAAGGCAATCCTCCATAGAATAAAGCTTGCCAAGGAAACCCTATGATAGGCTTGCCGTAGGTTGGAGTCAACTTGAAGCTACGTAGTAACAATTCTACCTTTCTGTTGAAACTTTCAGGCAGCTAAATTACTATTCAGTCAAGAATAATAGAAAATGGCACAGCCAAAAAAGAGAGAATGATGCATAAACCCTGCCAACAGTACCAAGCAACTGGAGAATCATTCTGCCTAAACCAGTGGCAATGTGCAAAGGATTTAAGGTGTACATGAGAGATCATAAAGTGCAGGTTGCTCTGATGCTTCCACAGCTGATCTGAAAATGGAGTCCAGGAGATGTAGATATTTCAAATTCAAGCAAGCAGCTACATTCTGCCCCAATTTACCCCAGCTGAGCCATCGCACTGCAGTTTCTCCTGGGGCAAAATATGGTACAGATCAAAGTACAGCAGTTGGATGCCTTAGAAAGTCTCGCATTCTGTGGTTGTGGTGAGACACATGCTGCAGTCACAGCGGATGGCCTTGGGGTATGTGTAGAAAGGATTAATGTTGGCTGCACAGTTGGGCAGCTTCACCGTCACCAGCTTAGTTTCGTTGTAAGTGCAGACGCGGTGGTGCGCTTCAATGTAAGGGGGATCCAGCACCGGCTTCTGTTTACAGGAAAAGGAAAAAAAATGAGGGCCTGAGCTTGGATAGAGAAAGCTCCTTTTTACTGAACCAAGGATATGAAGATAAAAGCATTAGAAGAGTAAACTTTGTCACGTTTTGGGGATAAAGTGTGAAAGTGTGAACATTTCCACTAGTTCTAGGGGATGTTTTGCTGCAAACTGGAATTTGGATGCAAACTGAGAAATCTTTGATGCAAACATTCATATCCTCCGACATTCCACTTATGACAACCGGAACCAAGCAACATCAGAGTATGGTCAAAATGGCAAAAAAAAAAATTATGAGGAGGAACAGGAGAAGCTGCAACAGTTTGTTTCTACCTGAATCTACAAGAGAGGATATGTTTCCACATCCTCCACGCTTCAGCACAACGTGCTTTTGAACTTTCGTTTCTGGACCTGTCCAGACAGTACCTTTATCCCAAGAGCTTCCGCAGCAAAACAGACAACGTTCCCTGTAAACATGGAAGCAATTGCTACTAAGATCGTCTGGAGGGGCCCTGCTCTCGGTCCCACCGGCCTCACAAGCACGGCTGGTGGGGACGAGGGACAGGGCCTTCTCGGTGGTGGCCCCGCGACTCTGGAACTCTCTCCCGCCTGAGGTCAGAACCGCCCCAACAATCCTGACATTCAGGAAAAAGGTGAAGTCATGGTTGTGGAGACAGGCTTTCGAAGAATGAGACAACCTTCTGGATGGAAGACGGTGTATATTCGATTTTAGTATGACAACTGACCACTGTAGTTTTTAAATTTATGTGCTTTTCCAGTGTTTTATTGTAATTATGTACTTTGATATTTTACCAATTGTATGTGTTTTTATGGTTGGAAACCGGGCTGAGTCCCTCTAATGAGGTGAGAAGCTCGGTATATAAAACTTTGAAATAAATAAAGCGAGATTTTCAAGTGTGGGACTATCCCAGTTCTGAGCCAAAAATCCACATCTTCCAATGTCTGTATGCCCCTGCACTTGGAAATCATGGGATTTTTTATCTAGGTTTGTTCCCTGGTCTTAGATGTTTGTTCCTTATTAGTCAGTTCCTAAAAAGAAGATGACACTTGAGTAAAATGCAAAAACATTGTTTGTGTGACAGAAACTGTATGAAACTGTATGAAAGGAAAGAGAGAATTCTCTCCTCACAAGTACACACATAAACACCTTCTTTCAATTCAGTAAAATCCTGCCCATGCCAAGAGTACTTTCCCACAATAACAAGAGAAATTAGTGGGTTGTTGTAGGTTTTTCGGGCTATATGGCTATGTTCTAGAAGCATTTTCTCCTGACATTTTGCCTGCATCTATGGCAATCATCCTCAGAGTTTGCAGGCAAAATGTCAGGAGAAAATGCTACTAGAACATGGCCATATAGCCCGAAAAACCTACAACCACCCAGTGATTCCAGCCATGAAAGCCTTCGACAATACAAGGGAAATTAGTCTTGGTCCTACTGGTATTTGAAATTTTTAAAAGAGCAGGCTAAAATTAGTCACTATCTTCTTGCTGCTCAATGTGTGTGGACTTGCTCGCCCATCCTGTCGCTCCCACCCCAAAGCGCTATGACCACATTTCGGAGGCAGCCCAAATTAGAAACAGGCATCTTATGGGGAGATGGAACAAAATGTATCACTTGTGAATCAGGGGCTCTGTTTTAATCTCTGCGGAATTTTCTGCCGGTGGAGTAATAAAGGCCCGTTTCCCCTTAAGTGTTTAAGCCATAAGAGGCTTTCGAAATTATATAATGAGAGCATGACGTAAATGCTTTAGAAATATTCTGCCACACAAAACTAAGGCTTTGGGGAAGGGGGAGAAAAACCAAAGGGGGGAAAAACCTACAGCGGGGAATGTTAAGGCAAGGGATTCTCTCTAGTGATACAGCCTCATCTCTGATACAAGGAAGCCAATGAGGTCATGTTTGTATACTGTAACATGCTGGCACAAGTGTCCATGTTGCAAGCTGGTTGTTATAGTGGATTGGGCCCATTCTCAATCTCGTACTACTACTACTACTACTACTACTACTACTACTACTACTATTACACTGGCCAACACAAATTTTGGTGGATATATTTGACCTGCTGATTCCAAAAATGGCACCAGTTTTCTCCCATCAACTCTAGTTTTTGAGATACAGAACACATGCCACATACCACCCTGCACTCTCCTCACCCATAAAAAATCAGGATGTTTTAATATCATGTTTAAATTAACACTGTTTAAGCATGAAGGAAACTACAATTTTTTTCATGTCAGGAGTGACTTGAGAAACTGCAAGTCGCTTCTGGTGTGAGAGAATTGGCTGTCTGCAAGGACCTTGCCCAGAGGATGCCTGGATGTTTGATGTTTTGCCACCCTTGTGGGAGGCTTATCTCACGTCACCGCATGGGGAGCAGGAGCTGACAGAGGGAGCTCATCCATGCTCTCTCCAGATTTGAACCAGCAACCTTCAGGTCGGCAGTCTTGCCGGCACAAAGRTTTAACCCATTGCACCAACCGGGGGCTCCAAAATTAACAGAAAAARTATACTATATGAACATCTACTTATTTCATACCAGAAGCACAGATTTGGGGTACAAACTTACTACTTATTTTTTATTATTTATTTTTTACAGCATTTATACCRCTTTTCTCACCCCTAGGAGGACTCAAAGAGGTACTTCATCACACTAGAGAATGAATCCACTTTAAATCCAGTTTCTGCCTCCTGCAGAATTCTGGGGTTTGTAGTTTAGTGAGGCTGTTAAAGGCACAGAAACTACAAACCCCAGAATTCTGAAGAGGCAGCAACCAGATTTAAAGTGGATTCATTCTCTCGTGTGATGAGGTCCTAAGATTTTATGAATTCAACTTATCCAAGAAACTAGAGCTGATGCGGTCTATTCCAATGCAATGTTCTGGATCAGTGCCACAAATAACCCCAAGAACAGGCCTAAAAACTAAGACACCAAGAAAAGATATGTTGTTGGGCTGTAATTAGCATTTATAACCCACCTTTTCTCTGTCAAAGGAGCTAACATTAAAAACCTTATCAATGCATACCACTGGTTGGCAGTGCACAGTCGTGTAGGACACAGGACGTAAGAAGTTTGTGTTCTCCCAATTTACAAGGTTTCAAATTTAGAGTAAAATCCCTATACCTGAGGAACTAATACATATTCACATCTGACAAAACATGACAACTTTAGGAGTTGTTTTAGTCCTCCAGGTGATGCTATGGTAGGTATTTACCAGAGGTTATCATAGAATCACTTTATGATTCTATTACTCTGTCAGGCATGGGCAAATTTGGGCCCTCCAGATGTTTTGAACTTCAACTTCCACCATTCTTAACAGCCTCAGGATCTAAGCGGCTGAGGGAGGAAAGGAAAGGGCCTGAGGCTGTTAAGAATGATGGGAGTTGAAGTCCAAAACACCTGGAGGGCCCAAGTTTGCTCATGCCTGCTCTAAGTGGTATATTACTTCCTGTCACTATTTCTAACCCCTATGTTTGTCAAGACATGTTTATAAGAATACTAGGCCTTGTACCAGACATGAGCAAACTTTGGTCCTCCAAGTATTTTGCACTTCAACTCCCAGAAATCCCAGCCAGCTTACTGGCCGTTACGAATTGTGGGAGTTGAAATCCAAAACACTTGGAGGGCCCAAGTTTGCCCATGCCTGCTATATACGCACGAGTTTGCAGTTTCTTTGTTGTCTGTTTCTTTCCTTCCTCCCTTTCCCTAATACTCTTTCTCCCTATCTCTTTTCTTTCTTCCCTTGCTCTTCCTCATATACTTCTTTCTTTCTGATCTCTAACTTCCTCTTATTCCTCTTTTTTCTTTCCTTTCTTTCGTTCTTTCTTTCTTTTCTTTCTTCTTTCCTTCCACCCTACCTTTCCCTCATATACCTTTCTTACTTTTCTCCTTTCTTTCTTTTCTTTCTCCCTTCCCATCTTGGCCACCTGCTTGCTTTCTCCCTTCTCCACTTCGCTTCCATGTTTGCCTGACCCTTTGCAAATGCCTGCCTCACAATGTCTCCAAGGTCCTACAATAGTTTACTGGTGACAGTCTAGCACACTTTCATATATTACCTCTCCCTCAGGTCACTCCTGACACACACATACATAAATCTCTATCTCTTTCTATCTATATACTGTGTTAATTTTGGGGGCCCTGCACCCAAAAGGGACTTCAAGTGAAACCCAGCGAGTATTTTAAGCTGGAAGGGTATGTGTACCAAGTTTGGTCCAGATCCATCTGGCCAAGTAAGAGCTTGTGTGATACAAACTAACATGCATAGATACATACATGGATACTTTGACTTTTATATAGAAAGATGAATGATCTTTACAAGATAAATTTAAAGTCAAAGAGATGGCCCTTCTTTTGACCAAAAAAAAAAAACCCAAACAGATAGAAGTATGCAAAATAAGAGAAGATGTAGGTGCAGAAGCAACCTAAGTTTTTCTTGCTTGAGCAACATGACCGAAGAGGGCAAATTCCACATACTTGGCAATCCAGCGCACCTACCTCCCAAGTCTCACAACGACCCCAGCAGGCATCGGTGGTGATGCGCATCCCCTTGCAGCCTGGTTTCTTGGCCAGGAAAGTGAACTCCCGGACGGCACAGCCAATGAATGTCCTCAGGTTGATACCGGATGGTTTGAGGGTACTGACACAGCTGGCCAGGATCAGGAGGTACAAAGATCCCTGGATCACCCGTTGGGGTTTTACGCCTGTGAGAAAAGCAGGAGAACTGAAGCCCTCTTAAAATGATGTTATTGTTAAATCATCATGATCCATAACTGTGGTTTCACTTATCCACACCCAAGGGAAAAGTCTTTTATTAAGAATTTACTAGATACTCTTTCTGAGTTTACAACCTTCCCCAACAGAGTTAAATTGGAGGACTCTTTAGAAACCTCTAGTTCCTCCAACACAACTTAATGGTAAGCTTGGGCCAGAAGTCAAGCAATTGAATAGCATCCAGTTGTATCTGCAATTTTAGGTGGCCACAGTCCAATTGGGAATATATCCCCCGATAATGCAAGGGTCTTACTATATTTATATATATTCTGTTTCTCTCTCAGTAATAAGTCTCAAGGCAACTAACAACTGATCTAAAAAGATACAATTTAAAACTTTAATAAAAGTATAAATAAGTATTTGTTGTAACTGCACCAGCATTGAATTGTTGCCTATTGTTAACCGCTCCAAGTCGCCCTTGGGCTGAGAGGGGTGGTATATAAATGTAGTAAATAAATAAGCATACAGGTTGTTTTCATAGAATCATTGAGTTGGAAGAGGACTTGTGAGCCATCCAGTCCAACCCCATTCTGCCAAGAAGCAGGAAAATCACATTCAAAACACCCCTGACAGATGGCCATCCAGCTTCTGTTTAAAAGCCTCCAAAGGAGGAGCCTCCACCATACTCAGGGGCAGAGAGTTCCACTGCTGAACAGCTCTCAGTCAGAAAGGTCTTCCTAATATTCAGATGGAATCTCCTTTCCCATATTTTGAATCCCTGAATAAAGGAAATAATGCCCTGCTCTGACCAATCCCCCTGCAAAATGTCTTCAGAAGCACTTTAACTACCCGTTGGGTTGCTCTCCCTACACTATACTTTAAAACCCTCCTGCTTAGATACATCCTACCTCTGTTCACGCCCAATGCCTATTTTAAATTTTAATCTATTACATCTGGCCCGGCCATAGGTTTTAAAAATTACATTACCTGTATTGTTTTATTTGCTTACTGCTTTGTTGTTTTATTGATGTGTTGTTGGGCTTGGTCTCATGTAAGCTGCCCCAAGTTCCCTTGGGAGATGGTGGTGGGGTATAAATATATTATTATTATTATTATTATTATTATTATTATTATTATTATTATCCATTGTTCTGTGTCCTAGTCTCCAGGCTAGCAGAAAACAAGCATGCTCCCCACTCCCTACAACTTTCCCTCACATGTTTACACATGCATCATCATCATGTCTTTTTCTTTTTCTTTTTAATCTGTGTGTTTGTTTTGCTCTGTTAGAATTGTAATACAGCTGATGACATGATAAATAACAAACAAAATCATCATGTCTCCTCTCAACCTCCTCTTCGGCAGGTTAAACATGCCCAGCTCTTTAAGCCGCTCTCCATAGGATTTGTTCTCCAGACCCTTGATTATTTTAATCGTCCTCCTCTGGACACATTCTAGATTGTCAACAACTCCCTTTAATTGCAGTGCCCAGAATTGGACACAGTGTGATTCCAGGTGTGGTCTGACCAAGGCAGAATAGAGGGGTAGCATCACTTCCCTGGATCTAGACACTATACTCCCATACTAGACACTAGATTCCTGATGTCAGGAACATCAGTTTTCCATGATTTTCATTTTGATAGGCATAAAATTCCCCATTGCAAGAAAGTTGTCCAAAACTGGGTTGTTTTGAAAACTTTCATAATTGGGAGGGAGGGATATTCTGTGCAAAACAAATTCATTTTAATGCAAAAAAACCCCCACATTTTTTCTGCACAGAAAATGCTGTTTGTTGTGGGGGTAAAACATGGGCATTTAACAGAGTTAAGTCCTGAATTAAATTTCTCAACAATCCAGGATTTCCTCCCTGGTGTTTCCTGAAAGTCAGTTTCACATCTATGATTATAATATTTTTGAATCTCAAATCTGGAGCTCTAATGGTGGCCAAAATGGTGAGTAGCAGTAATCCTCATTGTGCCCAACCATCATATACATCACAACAATCAAGGTGTTGTCATCTGAAGATCTTCTTAAAAGTAATAATTTGGATAATGTGTTTGTCACATTAGCCCTCTGCAGATGACCTCTGTCAAGCAAGCATTGTGTTTTGATGTGAACAGCTTGAGGAGTGCTGAAAAACAGCTCAATTGCATATTGAAATAGCCATCGATTGTACTCATCTTCAAGTAACATCATTGTTCCATTGTCAAGTTGTTCTGGGGATGATTTTAAAGATGAAGTAGAAGTAGTCAACCAATCAAGCAAGCCATGATTTATCCAATTCTGATTAAAACTGGGTATGATGCTATTAAGACCTCAAGATTTTGATTTCATTTGACGGAAGCATCCATTATTATAAGTCAAGAATAAGCAGGAGCAATCAAGATGAAGCACGAAAACAAGATTTTGAAAATGCATATCGATCTTGAGACTGAGAGAGAGAAGTTTGCGTCATAAGTCTGGGTTTATGTCATTAAATTTTAAGAAGTAGCCATCCCAAGTGGCTCCTACTCTATTGAAACTGATAGTATCCATTCAGTATTGAAACTATGCTACATTCGGTGTGTTTTGAGTGAACAAGGTAAAGCTAGTCAGCCTTCTTCTTATAATTCTCCTGCGCTTGCTATTAATGTGTAAAGCCTGTTGATACCTTCCAATCCCACAATGTTTCCATCACCTACCTTGGTATGAGGGGTCCCTTCCACTTCTGTGCCAGCACGCTGTACAGAAATGATATCAATGAGCAGGAATCTCCTTCTTTCCCTGGACCTACCTACTGAGATAGTTGCTTCACTTTGCTTAACAGCTGGAGCACATGTACACAAATCTACTACTTAGGTAGGCCTTACTCTGATATGATAGCCATGTATAAATATGTGAGAGGAAGCCACAGGGAGGAGGGAGCAAGCTTGTTTTCTGCTTCCCTGGAGTCTAGGACGCGGAACAATGGCTTCAAACTACAAGAGAGGAGATTCCATCTGAACATGAGGAAGAACTTCCTGACTGTGAGAGCCGTTCAGCAGTGGAACTCTCTGCCCCGGAGTGTGGTAGAGGCTCCTTCTTGGGAAGCTTTTAAACAGAGGCTGGATGGCCATCTGTCAGGGGTGATTTGAATGCAATATTCCTGCTTCTTGGCAGGGGGTTGGACTGGATGGCCCATGAGGTCTCTTCCAACTCTTTGATTCTATGGTCTAATTTACTCCAATTCTAAAGCTGAACCATTGGTTCTCAAATTTCATTTTAAAAATATATGAAGTTTTTAATGATTTTGTGTGGGTGTGTGCTCATTGCTTGTCACCTTTTTTGTTTCCTTTAGAGTCATGGGACATTGTACAATTACAGCACCTGTATATTATTTTGTAATAAACTGATCCAAAAACAAATCAAGGACAATAAAATGAACTTATTTGAGATGTGGTGATGGAGAAGAGTTGTGGACTGCCCAAAAGGCAAATAAATGGGTCTAGACCAGTGGTTCTCAACCTGGGGTCCCCAGATGTTTTTGGCCTTCAACTCCCAGAAATCCTAACAGCTGGTAAACTGGCTGGGATTTCTGGGAGTTGTAGGCCAAAAACATCTGGGGACCCCAGGTTGAGAACCACTGGTCTAGATGAACTCTTCCTAGTAGCCAAGATGACGCTTTCTCTTAAGCAATCCATCATAGCCCAAGGATGATGGTCTTCTAAGTGTCTTGCTGGTGGGTCCGTAGGTGGCTATGGAGTATGTTCGCCCACAGTGAGCACATCAGTTTCCAGGTAGAAGGTGATCCTGGTCAGGGTTGGCTTGATGTGCCTTCCCCTTGGCACATTTCTGTCTTTTGCCCTCCATTCATGCCTCTTCTAATTCTGCAGCACTGCTAGTCACAACTGACTTCCAGTGAGAGCACTCAAGGGCCAGGGCTTCTCAGTTCTCAGTGTCTATGCCACAGTTCTTAAGGTTGGCTTTAAACCCATCTTTAAATCTCTTTTCCTGTCCACCAACATTACGTTTCCCATTCTTAAGTTGGGAGTAGAGTAACTGCTTTGGGATATGGTGGTCGAACATTTGGATAATGTGGTCAGTCCAGCAGAGCTGATGGTTTAGGAGCATTGCCTCTATGCTGGTGGTCTTTGCTTCTTTTTCCAGCATGCTGACTTTTTTCTGCCTGTCTTCCCAAGAGATTTGCAGGATTTTTCAGAGGCAATGCTGATGGAATCATTCCAGGAGTTGAGTGTGACGTCTGTAGACAGTCCACGTTCCGCAGGTGTATAGCAGGGTTGGGAGGACAATAGCTTTATAAACAAGCACCTTGGTCTCCCTACGGATGTCCCGGTCCTCAAACACCCTCTGTTTCATTCAGAAAAATGCTTCACTCTAGATGGAGGCTAACATACTTTGGCCATATCATGAAAAGGCATGACTCTCTTGAAAAGACAATAATGACTGATAAGGTAGAGGTCTGTAGGTAAGGATGAGTGCACTTCAGATAAATGGGCTCAATCTAGGAAGCCATGGTCTTGAGTCTGCAAGACCTGAGTAGGGCTCTTGAGGATAGGGTGACTTGGAAGTCTCCCATTCATTAGGTTGCCATAGTTCAAAATTGACAAATACCATTTATATTGCAGAGAAACCCATTACAGTTTCATGCAATATGTCGAATTCTCTGCCAAAGGCAATTATACTCTAACATAGGCATGGGCAAACTTGGGCCCTCTAGGTGTTTTGGACATCAACTCCCACAATACCTAACAGCCTCAGGCCCTTTCCTTTTCCCCCTCAGCTTATTAAGTGGCTGAGGAGGAAAAGAAGGAGCCTGGGACTATTAGGAATTGTGGGAGTTGATGTCCAAAACACCTGGAGGCAGGCCCAAGTTTGCCCATGCCTGTTCTAACAGCACCAGGATTCTATAGGATGCAACAGCCATCTGTTAGAATCAACCAAGGCGTTATAATTATCTCGAGGATGAGCCTAAGCGATGAGTTACATTCAGCAAAAGACAGCGAAGTCTCTTACCTGCCTTGATGGGCATCTCTCGTTTTCCCCCACTGGGGTTCTCAACTGAAGCTACTCCTTTGCACTGATCAGGAGATCTGGCCTCGGTGACACAGCCTCTGTCAGGGTTTGCTCTCTCGGCAGCTCTCTTTTTTCCCAGCTGCTACTGGGCTGCTTAATTGCTCAAATTTATAGAAAGGGTTGTGTCAGTCAAATGACAATGGAGGCAGATCCTTGCATGAAGCTGCTGCGGCATCAAAGGCGCTGGGCTAGGGAACAAGACACTCTTTTCCAGGGCTTATGAACTCAAGGGGTATTTGTTTCTCCTAACATCACCCGACTGAAACAAAAGCAGAAAACCTTGGTGGGGCTGCAGAATTTGAGGAAGGAAAGAATGAGCAGGGCATTGGCTCATTCTGGAGATTGGAAAGGGATTTTACTACAACTCCCAGAATCCCTAAGATGCCCTTCAACTGTCTTGAGTTGGCAGACAAACTTACAATTATTCTTTTGCCATCCGACTTTCTCAGCTACTTCTAAAGTGTCCTAGTTTCTCTCTCCTTCCCTTTTGTCCTCGGCTTCCTGCAAATTGATTCCATTGCATTGAGACATGGCAGTTTATGTGATGTCAGGCTGGATTAATTCTACAGTAAAGACCCACCCTCAATTCTCCATTCAGATTTCTGAAAGGGAACAATATAGAATCATAGAGTTGGAAGAGATCTTATGGGCCATCCAGCCCAACCCCCTGCAATGCAACTTTAAAATCATAGAATCAAAGAGTTGGAAGAGACCTCATGGGCCATCCAGTCCAACCCCCTGCCAAGAAGCAGGAATATTGCATTCAAATCACCCCTGACAGATGGCCATCCAGCCTCTTTTAAAAGCTTCCAAAGAAGGAGCCTCCACCACACTCCGGGCAGAGAGTTCCACTGCTGAACGGCTCTCACAGTCAGGAAGTTCTTCCTCGTGTTCGGATGGAATCTCCTCTCTTGTAGTTTGAAGCCATTGTTCCTAGTCTCCAAGGAAGCAGAAAACAAGCTTGCTCCCTCCTCCCTGTGGCTTCCTCTCACATATTTATACATGGCTATATATCCTCTCAGCCTTCTCTTCTTCAGGCTAAACATGCCCAGCTCCTTAAGCATATCAGAGTAAGGCCTACCTAAGTAGTAGATTTGTGTACATGTGCTCCAGCTGTTAAGCAAAGTGAAGCAACTATCTCAGTAGGTAGGTCCAGGGAAAGAAGGAGATTCCTGCTCATTGACATCATTTCTGTACAGCGTGCTGGCACAGAAGTGGAAGGGACCCCTTTTATTAAGAATTTACTAGATACTCTTTCTGAGTTTACAACCTTCCCCAACAGAGTTAAATTGGAGGACTCTTTAGGAACCTCTAGTTCCTCCAACACAACTTAATGGTAAGCTTGGGCCAGAAGTCAAGCAATTGAATAGCATCCAGTTGTATCTGCAATTTTAGGTGGCCACAGTCCAATTGGGAATATATCCCCCGATAATGCAAGGGTCTTACTATATTTATATATATTCTGTTTCTCTCTCAGTAATAAGTCTCAAGGCAACTAACAACTGATCTAAAAAGATACAATTTAAAACTTTAATAAAAGTATAAATAAGTATTTGTTGTAACTGCACCAGCATTGAATTGTTGCCTATTGTTAACCGCTCCAAGTCGCCCTTGGGCTGAGAGGGGTGGTATATAAATGTAGTAAATAAATAAGCATACCGCTCCAAAGGAGGAGCCTCCACCATACTCAGGGGCAGAGAGTTCCACTGCTGAACAGCTCTCACAGTCAGAAAGGTCTTCCTAATATTCAGATGGAATCTCCTTTCCCATATTTTGAATCCCTGAATAAAGGAAATAATGCCCTGCTCTGACCACACTCCTGGGCAGAGAGTTCCACTGCTGAACAGCTCTCACAGTCAGGAAGTTCTTCCTCATGTTCAGATGGAATCTCCTTTCTTGTAGTTTGAAGCCATTGTTCTGTGTCCTAGTCTCTAGGAAAGCAGAAAACAAGCTTGCTCCCTCCTCCCTATGACTTCCTCTCACATATTTATACATGGCCATCATGTCTCCTATCAGCCTTCTCTTCGTCAGGCTAAACATGCCCAGTTCTTTAAGCTGCTCCTCACAGGGCTTGTTCTCTAGATCCTTGATCATTTTGGTCACCCTCCTCTGGACACATTCCAGCTTGTCAATATCTCCCTTCAATTGTGGTGCCCAGAATTGTACACAGTATTCCAGGTGTGATCTGATCAAGGCAGAATAGAGGGGTAGCATGATTTCCTTGGAACTAGACACTATGCTCCTATTGATGCAGGCCAAAATCCCATTGGCTTTTTTTGCCGCCGCATCAGATTGTTGGCTCATGTTTAACTTGTTGTGCACAAGGACTCCAATATCCTTTTCACACATACTGCTCTCGAGCCACGCAACATCCCCCATTCTGTATCTTTGTATTTCATTTTTTCTGCCTAAGTGGAATATGAGGGTGGGTCAAAATGTTTTGCCTCCTGTGTCATAGAAACATTATAAATGAACATATAACAGCAGAAGTTGCTTCAGATTATAGCCTGAACTATCCTCTACTCAAAATTACCGTTCAACATAGTCACCATCAATTTGCAGCATCATTTAACCTGGGCATCAAAACCATTTTGGAAAAATTCAGGGTTTTGCTTCGTGACCCATACTTTTAAAGCTGTTTTAACGCCATTTGAATCATTGAATCCGAAAGCACGTATGTTGTATTTCAGAGGACCACTGGCTTCTCTGTGTAATCAGACATTGAATGTAGATATGCCTGTAGGCATATCTACAGTTCAGAAAAGGTGCATTGGCTTGTTCCGGATAACTAAATCAATGTTGTCCGAAGAAATTCATTCCTCCACACATATTTATATAAACCCACCCTCACCCCTGGTGCCCTTCAAATATGCCAGTCCACAACCCCATCTGTCTTGGAATGATGGGATTTGTCATCCAACAGATCTAGACTATGGCAGAACACAGGAAGATGATATAAATGGTCAAGAGGGGAGATTCCTGTGTGCACACCTTCCTCTCTTCTTTTTCAACTCTGCTGTTATACAGATGTTGCAGATGCAAACACTATATGGAATAGCAGCAATGTTACATTTAAGACATCTTCTCAGACACAAACTTGTCCCAGGCATTGCTCCCAGATTGTCGTTTGACTTTCTGTTGATGAATTCTTCAGGATTTAATAATGTTTGTGTGCGCGCGCAGTTATCTATCATTGCATATAGAAATTTTGGATTCATTACATAGAGTTACAGATCTGTAACTGCACTGTAGTTAGAAAACTAATTAAATAAATAAATAAATAAATAAATAAATAAATAAATGTTACCCAATTTACATACACACATTAGCATACATACCTGGCATTGCCTCAGTGTTGGAGGGGCAGCTATCTCCTTGCTTTCTCCATTCACCAGCTTTGAGAAGGTCTACCTCACAATGTTTCTATGGCAATGCTCTGGCAACTCTCTCCAGAGAAGCTTTCTTTGTGGCTCTTTATTTCCTTCCTTGGTTTTCCTCATAAACTTTCTCCATCTCTCTCTCTCTCTCTTTCTTTCCTTCTTCATACACTTTCCACCTTCTTTGCTTCCTTTCTCTTCATCCCTCTCTCCTCTTCTTTTTCTTCTCTGCCTTCCTTTATCCTTTATCCCATTCCCCCTTCATTTTTTCTTTCCTCCTCTCCCCTCATATTTTGTCCCTTTTCTTTATTTTTCTTCCCTCCTTTTTCTTTCTTCCCCTCCCTCCCTTCCTTCTCCCTTCCTTTTTCCCTTCTTTTTCCCTTTCTTCCATCCTTCCTTCCATCCTTCCTTCCTTCTCCTTATACAGAAGTCACTTAGCAGCAGCCAAACCACTTCACTCCCATTGTTTCCCAATGCCATCAAAGAGGGCCACTTCACCTGGCAACAAGCATTCACCTAGTTACAGCCAATCTACTTTGTTCATTTTCTTTCTGTCAGCCCAGGGCCTTTTTGTGTGTATGTTTGTGTCAGGAGCGACTTCAGAAACTGCAATTTGCAGAAAAGGACGTTGCCCAGGGGATGTTTTGCCACCCTGAGGGAGGCTTCTCTCATGTCCCCTCAAGGGAAGTTGGAGCTGACAGAGGGGAGCTCACCCCACTACTCGGATTCGAACCGCCAACCTTTCGGTCAGCAGTGCTGCCAGCACAAGGGTTTAACCCATTGCGCTCCACAGCCCTGGGCCTGAAAGGGGTAATTCTTTTAGTTCAAACCCTTCAATTTTAAGCTTGGACCATGAAGGGTATCTGTGCCACATTTGGTCCAGATCATGTGGGAGCCTTTGTGGTACAAAGCAATAAACAAACATATTTTGGCTTTTACATATATAAATACACAAGTATTCCAAAACATGGGGGGGGGGGGGGGGACTGCAATGCAACACCCAATCATTTCAGAAAAGGAATACTCAATGTGCTATTACAATGGAAACTCCTCTGAGCTCCGGAGAAGGCCAGTTGTCTTACTTCTATGACACTTGAAAGTCATCCATTACCTAACTCTGGGCAACTCTCCTGGAAAGTTACTGTCATTTCTATGGGAGCAGGACCATGTTGTCATTTAAATTTTGCCACAAAGGGAAGCACACGCCCATCAGCTCGCATCTCTTGAATCACTCCCATGGTCTTTACTTTCTTTTTTTGTCCTGTGGAAAGGCTTCTATGACAACGTGATGGGCAACACCAGGAATCCCATAATCCCTTTCTTTTGGCTCAGGGGTTGAAGATGAAGCTTTAGAATCCAGAGGTTCAATTCCATGTCATCACCAGGCTGTTAATTTTCCTATTGTCTCTGACCACCATGCTGGAAAAAAGGAAATAACACTTCGTCCAAACTTGCTTCTCCACCATGTAAAATTATTTCCAAGATCGCCTTGGTGATAAACAAAGCCTGCAATGAAATGAAGCTGGAAACAAAGGAAGGATCCGTTTGCTCTTCCATGGGATCCAGCTCACCCGGATACACATAAAGAATGCACTCATGAAAAATTGAAACATAGGTAACAAGAGTATAAGTTGCATATGTAAAAAAATCAGGATTGCAATTCAAATAAATCACTGTTGCTTATTCGGGTGGGTTTTCAATGACAATCCTTTGCAGGATTACTCAGTAGTAAATTCCTCTCAATTCATTGGGAATT